ACATGTTTCATCTTTCAAAAATAACCAATATTCATACCAAGCAACTTAAATAGTTTATTTTTCCTAAATTCTCTACAAATAACAATTTCACAACTTTTCTAAAATTAACTAATTACATGATATTTACATCAAAAATCATGAAATATGCCGAAGAGTAACCTTTCCAAGGTTGGGAGTTCAAAAGTCCACATTTCATATTTTCATTTCACAAAAGTGAACAAAATTTAATCATCAATATATCACCATTCATAAAATATCATGAATACAACAATTTTAGAATTTCTATCCAAAAATAACTCTATAATTCCAACTAAACAATTTACACAATATTCATCAACATCAATTTATTTTTCTCAAAAGTAAATTCAAAAATCAAAGATGAGAGAATATTTCAACATTATTTTTCTCAAAATAAATTATCTAATCATAATATAATGTAGATACAAAGCATACAACTATTAAATTTGTATTCGGATTTTTTTAACAAAAATTACTACCACAAGATGATTTTTCCAAATCAATTTCAGAATACCAATATTATCAACATTTCAACATAATTTTCGTCCAAAAATTATCCAAACAAAAATCTGAGAATAATATATATGTAATACCTCCTATAATGACATATTTTCTCAAACTATCCCTAACATGGATTTACATAAGTAACATGAAGAAAGTCCCTACCTCAAATAATGAAGAGGAGCAGATCTAGGACGTAAATCTCGTCGAATTTTTTATCTGAGACTACCATTGCAAAAAGTACAACAAGCTCTCCGACTTTCATTTACAAAACTTTTCCAAAATCTAACCCAATCTAGCTCCAATCTTTCAAAATGTGAACCAAATCATTTGTTCAAATGTTTGAGAGAGAGACGGACCCTCTCCTCTCTTCTCTGCAGGATCAAGAAGTCAAAGAAATGAAAAGTTGGGAAAGTGAAGATAAAGGAGGGGGAAAAGTGAAATGAGGAGGGATGGGAGGAGACAACCCCATGTGGGTTGTTCTCTTTCTCCAAAAATTATATATAAATATATAAAGGGCTAGGCTTCTCTCTAGTCCGTGGTTGGACTGGAGCGTGTTGTTGGGCCCATGGAGGCCCACCACAGGCCTTATTTCGATAATCTGAACCATTCAATGTGTAGAACTCGTTGAGTACTTTATCTCTATAAAAAATCACATTGATTAAATATTGATAACTACTTGATCGAATCAAATTTCTATCAATGGTAAATATAATTTTCAAAATAAATTGCTAACAAAAATCTGATCCGATCAAGTAGCAATCGATATCCGATCAATATGAATTTCTATAAGGATAAAGTACTCGACGAGCTCTACACATTGAACGATTTGGATTATCGAAACAAGACCCGTGGTGAGCCCCACGGACCCAACAGCATCGTCCAATTCACTTTGCAGACTGGAGACAAGATGCCCATATATAAACATATTTGTAATAATATCATAAAATTTATATCACATATTAAAAAATGATATAATTTTATCTCATCATAAAATATAATATTTTTATACACCACAAAATAAAATCTCTTGCTTACTACAAAAATATATAATTTTTCACTAACGCACGATAAATTCAACTTACCAATCACATAATTAAAAAGAGCAAACAATCAAATAAGAGTAATAAACAAATTCAAATTAAATTGATTTTAAGTAATGGGTCTTAAATTAAATTCTCACTCACAAGCCAAACATAACCAAATTGTACATCAAAGTAGACCCAACAAACTTATCTCAAGTCATGGTCTAAACATCCAAAACTCAACATCAAATTATGCTATAAACTCAACTGAACGCTGTTCAATCCATGGATTTTCAAAAAATAAATACTTGTCCTTTATTCTAAAATTTTAACACAACATGTTAGACTTATATGGAAATGACATATAAAAATTAAATAATTTTCTGAGATAGGAAACCGTTTTTAAAAAATACAAAATCGGACCATTTTCAAACAGAATTTTACACAGCAACTCAATCCAAATATTGCTCAATTAATTTATGCACTGACTTTTTTTAAAAAAAAAATTCTGAGTCATTACAGATTGAATAGACAAAGGAAAGTTTCAATGCCAAAAAAACCAATCCAATCTAGTTTGATCAAAAAAACAATTAGTGGTTGTTTACTAGGAAGCTCCTCTTTTGGTAAATTCATATCGTATTCTATATGACATTTTCTTCCATTTCAACCTTAACATCTTAGACTTCTGAAAGTTTTTCCAAAATAATATCAGGTTCCTCATACTTAGAAACTGCTTGATCAACAACGTCCACTTGATCGTCACAATTCCCTTGAATAATTTCTAAAGTTTCTCCACACACACAAACAAAAATAAATAAATAAATAAATACTAGCAATTTATTCAAAATAAACTTCCACTTGATCGTCACAACACCCTTTAGGAATTGCAAGAGTTTTCCCCAAAAAATGGACTAAGAATTTGTTCAAAATTGCTTTCATCTAACTCATTTATTCATCTTTTTCATATCTTTCTTCATCTAATGGTGCTCATGATAGGGATCTCAAATTTAGAGTATAACTCGACATCGGTGAACAAACATAGCTAATGGGAGAGAAGATATTATTTTATTTTTTAAATAATGATTTTGGTTCGAATTGATGAGTTCATATAAAGAAGACAAATCACACCAATTGAACAGAGCAAAGTGGATCAAAATTGGGCTCTGATACCAATTGATGCCGAACAGCTATTAAGAAATCCGTTCAGCAATCTAACTTATTCCAAAACTAAAATTTATGGAGAATTCATCTAAAGAGAATATCAAACTTTTAAAAAGAATCAAAAGAGAAGAAAAAGAACACAAGGGTCAAAATCGTAATAATCTCACAAACAGCCACAACCTTTTACTCAATATCATATAATAATGGTATCAGGATATGTACCGATATCAGTAATACAGTCATCTATTGGTCTATATCAAAGAGCAACAGATAGTACAACTAATATATAAGTGAATAATAGTATCGAAATGCCAAAATCCCGTTACGATGAAGTCAAATACCATACATAATGGTTGATACTTAAATCTCTACTCAATATCAATAATTTAAAGCTAACCTAAAAATATTACATAAAACCATATATATAAGCAATGCAGGAAACCCTGATTCAAAATAGGAAACTAAATCATAATATATTATTTGGTAACTAGAACCCCTTAATAAATAAATAAATTAAATATATTAAGGTTTAAATGAACTATAAATAAATAAATAAAGTATTAAAGACAAATAAAATCATAAAATTGTAAATAAAGTCTACATGAGAATTCATGAACATCCCGCATCACCTTCCCTATTTGAGTTGTGTTAATTGAGATTAAAGGTGATGTGCAATTAGACTTGCGTCACTATACAAAATCAAGTTTCTACGACACTATTCGTGACAAAACAAACACAAATTATCTTTATCTTTGCATCCAAACAATCAATTTCTAAACAACAAATGCCCACAAAACCTAATCATGAACCTTTGCAAGCCCAAACCTACCGCCCATCTTCCTTACATAATCAGTAGCCACATCTCCAAATTCACCATCAGACGCCACCCCTATATTTTGCACACACAACTATTGTTTAACAAACACCAACTACTGACCAGCAAAAATCTACCTTCTTCAACCCCATGGATCACTAACCCAAAGCACCAAGCCATCATTACATAGTGCTATACCCATCTAAAAAAACTATGATAAAAAGTAAGTGATATAGAAAAATTTCCAAAGAAAGAAAGTCATGGGCTTGGATTGTGGACCCTAAAGCTACCAATGTAGACTTTGTGAGTGGTCTCGGTGAATGGGAACCAGGTTGTAGTCAACATAGAGTGATCTACATCAGGGGTGATCTCTGAACTAGCATGATGGTTGCCGCTGAGGCATTCACAGAAGAGCACACCACCGTAGTGATTGGTAGTGTAGTGGTTCAACTTGCAAAGTTGAATTACCAATATATATTTTGTTAAGGAAAATCTAAGAGACCAGACAATGGTCCTAGATTTTTTCCATCAAAAGCAGATCAATGGTGTGCTTAAAGTTTTGTTGTGAGATCAAATCTTGAGTGCATCCTAGCCATTCATTTCAGTTTTCAAGTTTTGGCCGTGCATGAGACCTCAGTCATCTGTGGGTATCCGAGACGAACGCAATGAGAAACCCTAAACAGAAGCGAGATAGCTTATCAGTTAGGTTGAGGGTGCTGCATCAATAGACAGTTAGGCAACATGGTGTTGGGTCAGTTGCAGGCAATGCTGGCATGGAATGCTTTGACTAACACAAGCCTCGATTGGGCAAGTGCCTTGATCATGGGAAAGCTTGGTGCGATGAAGCGACATGAGCCATGCTTGGTTCGATGAAGCGACATGAGCCATGCTTGGTGCACTTGAGATGTCATGTCTACTTGTGGCACTCAAAGCTGAAGCTTCCTTTGTGGAGTTGCTCTCAGTTGACAAAGCATGGGGCCTATATTTGACAAGACGGGTGACAATTAAACCCTCGATGGTCAAGATGAGAGTTAGTCAAGCTTGAGTTTGGTGGAGTTCAAGTGGCACACAAACAAAAAGTTATTCTACTGCATGCTCAAAAGAATCGGCCAATGACACACGGCTAAGGGGTGCCACGTATCACAAGCGGACCTATATTCCTATACTCAATAATAAAAGTTATGTTTTCTATATATGATGTGTTCTAATTAATTGTATATGGTCTACACAATTAAGCCTCTCAAGGATAAGACATGATATTTGCACATAAAAGAACTGGGAGTGTGAGCCCTAAGAAGATAATAGATAAATTAACAATTACAAAACCAAATAGATGATATACTTCATAATACATTCTAACAATCAAACAACTAATCAACTAACAACGTGCCACTTCCCAACATCCAAAAGATTGATTTATCAGATATTAACCACAACATCCAACCGAGAAAAAAAAAAAAGAAGAAAGGGAGCAGATATACCTGCACTCCTATTTCCCTAGTCTCAAACTGAACATAGCGCTGGCGAAGAAATCTACCAGTTTTTCCATCATAGATGAAATGGTAATCAACCACTCTACAAGCATCTCCAAAGAACTGCACCCTGAAGAAAAATAAAATTACCATATTAAGATCAACTAAAATACATGACAAATAAATGACAACAATAATACATACAAATGGTGTGGTTGAATTAGCAAGCTTAGCTTCTGAACAAACAGTGTTACTGGTTGTGAAGTCTTATCTTCACATGTGACAGATTTTCTGAGCGGCAAAAAAACAAACAAATAAATAAATAATAATAATCTCTCTTCGTCACTGTGATCATGAATGTCAAACCAATTTTAGGCAAGCAAAAAAGAAAAAATTATTAGTACAACTTTCTTGATAACTTTCTTTCTGATTATGAAATCAGCTTCTTCAATACTAGGCTGTTTGTAAGACATATTAGTGGTTTATTAGACAAACAAATTTCTCAAACAAGTTCTATTTGCTTGGGCCATCATTTTCTACAAATATGAGTCATGCATATAGCTTTTAGCCTCTTATGGTTTCCAATTGCATCTAACTATGAAGAATATGTGGACCAATCACAGTAACCAATCCTCTTCTTTAAAAAAAGACTGGTTTTTGTGTTTTTTTATAATAATAAAGCACACAGGTTTAAACAGTGGTGGTTCACACAATTGTGTCCTATATCATTGCATCATTGATCTACAAACTCAGCTTAGAAAACATTTAAAGGTTACTATGGATGAAGAGGGCGGGAAATAAATGAAAAGTATAACATTTTTCAAAAACAAATACATAATTGGCTTATGGAAGAAGAGAATCAAAGCCTCCACTTCCAAAAACAAATAGGAACAGAGAATAAAATACGAATTCACTAGTAGTAGAAGCTTATGACTTTCAAGATAAACACATAAATTGCATTAAGATATGAAAGTAAAATTTACATTAGAATGTGTTGATAGATGAACTAGAAATTTAATCTATTTTCATCTCATTCAAAGATAGTTCCTCAGTCACCCTGTATTTGGAAAAGGGAGTTCCTCGGGCCCCACAAGAATTCAGATAACCAAGATTAATATGATAAGAAACAAGGTAGTGAATTTACTTTTGTGAAAATACGTAAATATAAATATAAATATATTTATATATATATATATATATTTACACATAGATACATAAAGAAAAAGGCAAATGGGGACGCACATGAGATTACTGTTACGCAGAATACTTGTCCCATTATGCAATCCCTCTATTATAAAGCGAATGGGATTCCAAAAAAAATAAATAAATAAACTCCTTGGCGCTTTACAAAACCCAACACAGAAGGGATTCCAAAAAAAAAAAAACTCCTTGGCGCTTTACAAAACCCAACGCAGAACCTCCCATCGCCACTGCCCAAAATGTTCAACATATTGTTTTCCATCTGCTTTTTGAAGAATTTCAGTGGAGATTTGATTGAACACTCTAGCTCTCTTACTACATATTCAAAAATATATGTGTTTATATATACGCACGCATAACATTTACGCATATTCATAGAGAAAAACAGAAAATAAAAACATAAAACTGTAAAGAACCTACTTTTCTTTTTCTCGAGTTCCAAATTGAGACGGCAATGTGACGGTTTTGGAAAACAAGGGTAACTCTATTTACACACAACTCATTTACTCACTACGCACCGTTTCTCAGTTTTTTTTTATTACAATTGTGTCCCTCAGTTAAATTACTTTCTTAGACAAATCTTAAACCCTAATTTCTCATACACACCTAAACACCACCACTGCAATCCACAAGCCTCCGGTTTCGAATCTGTGCCGACACCGCTCCCTCGCCCTTCTTCATCCTTCTTGTGACTCCACCTCTTTCATCCTCAAGCCTCGTCACGCCTCCAGTCTTCCACATCATTCTCCTCCTCCTCCTCCTCCTTCTTCACCGTGAAACCCTAATCTGTCCCTCTTTCTTGCGGCGGATCTCTCTCTTTCGAGCAACAGCGGATCTCTCTCTTTATGCGATTTGGGGGTCACGATGGATGAGGGTTGTGGCGGAGGTGCGTCACAGCGGTGAGGGGCTGCAATTTTACTAGGAAAGCAGATCTTGGTGGCTATGGCTGATGACGACGGTCGGAAGTAGAGAACAAGTGTAGACTCGAATAAGAAGGGAAAAGAGAAGGTGCATGAGGAGGGCTGTGACAGGTGGCGAGAGGGAGGCGACGAAAGGAGCTGGCGACCTGAAGGGCTGAGTAGGAATGGCGACTGGCGGCTCGCTGTTGATGGCGGCGACAGGGTGGAGTTAGGGTTGTGATGGGAGAAGACGGGGATAGTTTGGGAATATTGAAAAATTGATGGTGTGTATTGAGCGAAAAATAAAAAAATCAAATGTGGTGTGAAATGAGTAAATAGTGTGTATTCAAAGAGTTTATGGCGTCGAGACAGAGAGAGACATCGCCGACCTCCCTCCCACTTTTCCTTGGCGCTTTCGCATTTATTAGGTTTTGAACAAACAGCAGGTGACGGGGAAAGGGTTTTTTTTTTTTTTTTACAAAATCAAAATATTAGGTTGCTTAAAAAATTAATTCTGAAAATGCGTTGCAAATACCTTTTTTTGGTGAATATTTTTTTTTTTTGGTTGAATTTAAAGAAGTTATAAGGTATTAGGTTTAATAGATATTTTTTTGTTAATGAGAGGTCCACTTTTGTAAAATAATTAACTGAGAAATCTTTTTGTTGGTTTTAAAAGATATTTTGTTTTTAATTGTATCCTTTAATTTTTTATCTGTTGACTTTTTTTTTATTATATCTATCTGTTCAAATTAATTTCTATATGTTTAAATTCTTTTAAGTATAACTACTAGTTGAATTTTTTACTTATCTATTCAACTTTTTTTTTATTTGTGTACTTTTTTTTCTATCTGTCGAAATACTAATCCATACCAAACCCTATCTATTTAAATTTTTTTCTTTTTATCTGTTCAAATCTTTCTTCCTTTTATCTGTCTTTGTCTCTCTCTCTATAGCGATCCTGGTTGATTCACAAATTTTGCTCCTCCGCTCGAGCGGCAATTCCAGTGCTCAAGCGGGAATCGACAACCCTCAGTACTTTTGTCACACCCCAAACTTGCCCCTAAAAGTTTGGGCATGACCTACACAGAAACGGACGCATTACCTGGTATACGTATCATATGGGGCCTGAACAAAAGCATTTACCAATATAAATTAACATAAATAAAAGAACTGCATCCATTGAGCGACCACTATCATGCCAGGATCATAGACAGAACATAAGGCAAATAAACATACAGTGACGTGCATCAGAGAATTAGCTATGTACATATATATATATATATATATATACAGACCCAGCCCTTAGAATTGGGCGCAAAACAACATGGACAGGCAAAGGAATTATATATACATCAACCTTAAGCAGACAATCAGGGTGCAAAATTAAAAGCTTAGCAAAATGAGCTGCCTTCACTTAAGTGCCTGGACACTCTGAGGTTGACAAAAGAGGCACGGATGCCATGGGTTAAAATTGACCTCCAGGTGGAATGCCTACAGAAACAGACATAACACAAAGTGAGTCAAGCTCAGTGACTGTACATAAACAATTTAAAGCTTAACTTACCTTACTTACAATGTACATATTCATTTAATTACATAAGTAAATGCAAAAATCATATGGTTAGTCTGATTCTATACACATTTCAGAACAACCTTGTCGGTTCATAACTTCATAGATTGGCCCTTGGCCTGATCGGTTCACACATTCACAAATTAGCCCTTAGCTTAACTTAGAGACACAACTTCACAAATTGGCTCTCAGCCTCATACTTCACAAGTTGGCCCTCGGCCTCATAATTTCATAATTCACAAAGTTATACCTTTCATATTTTCACAAATTGTATCTTTCATAACTTCACAAATTATATCTTTCACAGAACGGCCATAGGCCTCATAACTTTCACATCGGCTTTAAGCCCAGTTCACATATGTATGGACTCAAGAGGTGGCTCGTACGGATTCTAGAGGTGACTCGCATTGCAGCACTTAGTTCCGTACAGTACTTTGTTCCGTACCAGAAGGTTCATAAAAATACTATCACCGAATAGTGTACACAAATCTCTTCATAGGTTATTCCAAGCTAAAATAATCATCTTACGTATATCGGAATCGTAGTAATACTTATTGATAGAAGACACATGCATCATTATTCCATTTGTTCATCATGAATCAATAAAGTGAACTTCCAGATAACAATACGTTAATAACACCTATTAACGGTAAACAAAACATACCAGTTTAGGACTATCCACAGTCCTATTTGATCATCCAATTTTGATGGTTCATTATGGAATGTCCAAACCGTCATGTTCCAAAAAAGTGAGGTTCACATTTACCATTCCTTCCTGTTAACCAATTCCATAGTATTAACTCCCGATTACGGAAGTACAGTAAAATCATTCCCTTAACACACACAGCTTCTTTTCCATAACACGGGTTGCTTTTTATCCTAATGGACTCGACTTCAATTGTTCCATGAGATAATTTATAGATTCTAGCACATTAATGATAGCCCTTACTCGTAACCGAAATGTAGAGTAGTTTCCAAGTCATACTAACATACACAAAATCTTACAACCAACATAACATTAGTATAATCACTTGCAAGAAACGAAATGTTAACAATAAAGATCAGTAACGATGATTAAATGTATGACCACAGTACTACTACTCACAGTGTTACAACGAAGTGCTTGTCCCTCCTGGAGTGTGCCCTGTACACAAACATAACTTAGTCATTAGGTCTTTTCCTTTCTTAATTCATTTCTTGCTTCATTTTACTTCGAACGAATTGTATGGACATCTTCCACATTTCTCAAAAAATCCCTGAATGTCTAGGGTTTTCACCAAAAACCAAACATTACCCATCCCCATAAAGAAACCCCATTAAATCATTCTCTTGATTTTAATAACTAAGCAAGCCCACGAATATTTAGTAAAATGATTTGGGATTAAACCCTTTTTTGAAAACTCCACATTTTAGGTCACAAAGATCAAAATCAACATAGTCAATACCATCCCACATAATCACCACAATTCAACCTAAGCAACATGATTCAACTCAACATCATTAAATATAATTCAGCATAATTCAAGAGGAATTCTTAAAATCCATTTCAACATTCCATAACCGAGTTTATGCCATCTATATCATTAATAAATCATTTCCCTCAATTTCCTTCTCATTATAACATGATTTACATTGCTCATAACAAAATTCATTCGCAAATTTTAAACATAATTTTCAAACATAACCAAATTCCAATTAAACTTGTACATATATAATTCAACCTATCAATTTCATGATTTAACTTTCAATTTGGGCCAAATCATTGGTTATCATCAAAAATCAACCTAGGGTTTCAAGAAAAACCTAGAAATTTCAAGAAAAATCCGAATTTCTTAACCCATTATTTTTTTGTTCCAATCTTCCTATTTATTATACACCCTAGGTCCATAATCCATAAACCATAATCTAAAGGAAAATGAGTGGGAGCACTAATTAGTGCTACCACTAATGATGTGACAGTAGGCCCCACCATGAATGATTTGATGTTTTGACCTTGGTGTTGTATTTTTTTTCTTTTTTTATTGAGTGCCATGTCATTAGTGGTCTTTTTAGAGCTTCCAAATTAGTGGTCTCTATCATTGTTGTAATCTAAATCCCATAATAGAACCCCAACATTGCAAACCCTAACCCCAAAATTTCAAGATTTACACTATATGCTCACAATGTAGATTTTGCATTTATATACTCCAAAATACCACAAATCTATCTATTAATGTAAACATTGAAGGAGAACTAGGACCCCTACCTCAAGATTCAAGAAAGAAAAGCAAGCTTTGATCTGGTTCCTCCAAAATTTCGAAATCCCAATCGGTAGAAAATGTTGATCTTCCCTTGTTCTCCATCCTTGATGCAAGATCCATGGTTGATTTGTTGATAAAAGTGGGGGAAATAAAGGTTTTGGGAGCTACGGTTTCAGACATGGAGGAGGGAAGAAGAAGAGAGGAAAAGAAAAATGTAAGAAATGGTCCAAAAATCACTTTGTTGAGCTGCTGTCCCGCACAGCCCACACGTGCGGCGCTATTCCCCGCACGGGCAGCTCTGCTTCCAACACAGATATAAAAACTTCAAACGGGTATAACTCTCTCATCGGGACTCCGTTCTAGGTCGTTCTTGTGTCCAAATTGAAGTCCGGAAATAAGCTTTCCAATGGTTCAAACCTCACATTCAAATTCTAAGTATGGAAGGAGAAAAGGGCAAAAGAGTGACGGCTGGTCAAAAATTCAAACTCAAATTTGGGACTTTTTATCTAATCTTATCTATATATCTTGTTAAGGCTTCAATCAAGGTTCCAAACATCATCCAATGGTCCTCAATTATAATATTTAAAGTTTACTTGCCAACCCATCAATATCAATAGTCCAACAACCATACAAGTTTTAAGGTGACAGGCACCACTATACATCAATGCAATATGAATCTAAAATCCGAGTCGTTATAACTTTCTTCTATAGCTCTGCAAATACTGGGAAAGTGCATTGGACATTCGAGCGTCCAGTCTCGTGCTCGAGCGGGAACCTTCATCTGCGAAACTTCTAGAAGAGCGTATTCTATGCTCGAGCGTCACTTTTGATGCTTAAGCGAAACTTTGTGTCTGACAATCAAGCGGGGCTTTCTATACTCGAGCAGGCTGCGCGTATAACAGTATGTGAAAGAAGCATTTTGAATCATTTTCTATATATATCTCTCTCTCTAAAACTCTCCAAACCCTAGATCTCAATTAGTGGTTCAAGTGTTTCTACAATAGGGCAAACAAGTAGGGTTACAATAAGCCAAGAAAGTGGAAAAGGTTCAAGGCTAAGAAGGGTAGTTTCTATTAGAGGGAGTGATGTTGGTGGCAATTGCACAGGTAGTAGTAGAGGTGCAAGTGATGGAATTCTAACGGGAAGAGGTGTAAGTGGTAGAGGTTCTACTTCAACAGTGGTAAGGGGACAACATGTAAGTATCACATACATTATGAACTTGACTATTGAATGCATTGAAACATTACTTATTTAGTGCCATTATATTTTTATTTAATGTGATATTGTAAGATGGAAGGTAGTCTCGAGTGCAACCTAATAAATGGAGTATGTCTTGCGCATGGTATTTGGCTTAGGTATTGCTCTTGTAATAATTAATTGTAATATTGTTAGTCTATTTGTTATTGTATTCTTTTACAAAACTAATTTTGTTTATTCTTGTTATTTGAATTAGACGGTTAGAAATTATGCAGCATGACATCTGAGATGGAATAAGAAATGTTCCAAGACAAATTATATGATATATTTTTGTGTAGGTAATATGGTATTTCAGTGTAAATTCTAAAAATTAATTATAGACAAATAGTAAAATTTACAAATGTTAATAATTAAAATCATAGTCTTTTTTCATGAATTTGTAACTTTCTCCCATAACTAAATTTATAAATGCTGTTAAACTGGCCAATGTCCTTTATGCTGTGAATTGACAGTTAAAAGCCCATAAAAAAAGAATTTTATAGACAATCATCCTTCAACTCCATCGATTCTAATTACTCCATAAGATATTATTATATTTCAATCAGTTCTATTATTTTAAACATTTAATCCACAAAATCTTAATTCGCATATTTAAGATATTTTATGAACAATTTTATCCTTACAAATATTTTTTGAACTCTTATAAACTTGGTAATGTAAATATTCATATTAAATAAATTTGACATTGTAAACGTTTACGTTAATAATATGAAATTTCACATCACAAAACATTCACAGTGAACATTAATGCGCCATTCACCCTATTATTATTAGGGAAATTTCAATAACTATGTCACCTATAAAACTTATTAAAATATAAAAAAAAATTTAGATGAAATGAAATAGAATTTATGAATAAATGTGTTAGTATAAAATAATGCAATTGATGACCCCATATAAAGTCACACGATTGAGTCACCAATATATATCGCATGCTCAATATTTCTAATAAAAAATGATATACAAGTCGACTTTTTAGAACCACTTTCTAGACCCAGTGGATTATTGAGTCTAGATGTAGTATCTAATTTTTGAATTCGAATAGCAATACTCATTCTCAATACCACTACAGTGTGAACAATAATAAAATAAAGCTTTCTCGTCGTATAGCTTAATTTTCAATAAAAATTTGTTCGACAAGAATATAAATTTTGGTAGAGAGTAAATTATTTAGCCAGTTATTACATTCATAATTTCACAAATAACATTGACAAACATTATTGCTTACATATAAGGCTCTCTTGTGTTTCAAAGCCTATAGTAATTTGTCAAGGTCTTGCCCTGCAGCTCTTTACTGAAGAACCTTTGCATGTAATCTGACAGTGTAAATTGTTGATAAAGAGCTGGTTTCTCTGGCGACACTAGCTCCGGCAATGGTCCATACAATCTCTCTCTATTGCTTGAGTTGAAGAAAACTGCAATCGAAACACGCGGCTCCTCATGGGGGTTCGCCAAAACTCTATGCTCCACACTTCTGTATTCATCATTGGACATGATCTGCAAAAGAGCTTTATTTATTTATTTATTTAATATAGAAAAGGTAATATTTTAATAACACAACTTTATAAAAATAAAAATCAATAGGTAAGAAACCAACTACCAGAAAAATAGAACTCAAGACAGTAGTTATGGATGTCAAATAAAACACAAAGACCCAAAAACAAAAACGAAGAGAAAATGAAGCACAACCAAAATATTGAGATCTGATTTTTAGTCCATATAAGTAATGAGCAATGCTATATCTGTTTAAATTTTTACTAACAATCTTACTAAAAATATACATGTCACCACATCATTGAATGCTTAAGTATCATTATTTTCTTAATAACCAATCACATTTTGCCATTTATATTTTTAATAAGATTGTTAGTATATGTAATGATAATGCAATTTGGTTGGCAAGATATGGGTAATTCGCCTGTAAAAAATTGATTGATTTCACCTATTAAGAACTAAAATTGTGCCAAAGTAAAAATCAATATCTCAAAATCCTAAAAGAGGTCATACAATACCATGTTGCCAAATGTCACTTGACTCGCAATTTATTGTTGAAGCATGTAGATAGACTGTAACCATTCTCACTTTAGTTTGACCAATTCAAGATAAATTTTATAGTGATCTTTGCACATATCCTAAAATATACAAGCATAGAATTGTGTGTGATAATGATAATCTAACTAGGCTAGTCAACCAGGCCAGGGGAACAAAGGCGACCATATGAGCAGACAAGCAACCAAACCAAGGATCCCAAGCCTCCAAGCATGATGCCATGAATCTAAGAAAGAAAGGATATAAAGCGAGAATTAAGGGATCATAAAGCACTCCAAATTCACCATATAATGATACAAGGAGCACAAATTTAAATCCTAAGATGCATTAGAAGACACTTTTATTACAAACCAAGAATTGATTGATATCTGAGTTAGGTATTGTGAGAACTCATAATTTCATATGACTGTTAAAAGCTTAATTATTTTAAATAGATAAGTTTCCAATAACTAAATTAAAACTTTATAAACAAGTGTTACTATACAAACATCTACAATTTAAACTCCTTAAAATTTAACTACATGCATTATTTTCTGTGATTATTCTTTGTGTTATTTTCTATATTCAAAATTTTTTAAATGAGAACTTGCTAATAAGTTAGTAACTAAGTCAACTAGATAGTTATAAACTCTAGATCTTTCTAAGTAAAAATTTATTATTATATTAGAGATACCTTTCTTACACTAGTGAAAGAAAGAAAATGTATACACCTGAGAGAGAGAGACAGAGAGAAAGAGGCCCACCACCCCCTCTTTCCATGCTATTTTCAATTTGTTTAAGAAATACTTACCTATGCCAACACTCAACCACCCTAGTTACCTAGGTGCCAGAAGGATGGTAATCCCACCCATTGAGGTTGCATGCAAATAGGAAATTTCTTTTCATTTTGTTTTAATTTTTATACACAAATTGCGTATATAAGGAGGCTCTCCCCTTATACCCACACCATTCAGCTGAAGGAGAGAAAGAGAGGAAGAAAGGGAAGAGACGAGATCTCAACTCTAAGCAATTTTTCTTAAAGTTTCTCGAGGTAAGAATACTCTATCTCTACCCCCCTTCAGATTATTCATGGCTGATTTATATGTTATATATGCAAGACCATGTGCTAGTAGTACTTATAGCAAGCAAAGTGAGGTTGGTACAATGCATGTTTATCTCTTGGTTGAATTAGGCTTGAATGACTTTTTGAGCTTCATTCTCTTCTAGCTTGTTAGTATATCTACTGATTTTACTTCCTTACATGTTAGATTACATCTCATTATCCTTGAATAACCTTGCATGTGTGTAAAAAAGAGTGGTGATGGCTCATCTTTACTAAAACATCAAGTTTTCAGCATTGTCCAGAATTTTTAGGACTTGCTAAGGCTCAAATAAATTTTAGAAAACTCCTTTCTAATGACTTGATAAGGCTCAAATAAACTGTCCAGAATCTACTATATTATAAACATGAATTTTTATAAAATCATCGAAGGGTATTTTGCACCCGAAATAAATGTTTTTCTTAGTTGCTGCATAAAACACAACAGCAACAGTCAACTTCGAATGATCACCATTTTCTCCAAAAAAATCATTTCCGAGCATGGCCACTAGGGATAGTTAGATATACGATTTTTCTTTCATTTTCCACTGATTTCACTAAAAACCGAAAAATATTAAAAGAGAAACGGCTGTTTTACTGAACTCTCAACACATTCTGTCCTATTTTCTTTGAAGAATTTTTATTACAGAGGTTTTTGGCCTTTCATTTCTTCTAGAAAAATGTTCCTAACTTGTCTATCTAGCAAACGGTTCCAATCTCACCACTGTTCGGTATCGTTTGAAGCTCAAAAAGTCATGCAAGCCTCATTCAGCCAAGAGATGAAAATGCATTATACCAACCTGACTTTGCTTGCTATAAGTATACTAATAACACATAATCTTGCATATATAACATATAAATCAGCCATGAATAAGGGTAGAGGTAGTATTCTTACCTCAAGAAGCTTTAAGAAAAATTGCTAAGAGTTGATACCTCCTCTTTTCCTTCCTTCCTTGCTTCCCTCTCTTTCTTGCTCTCCCCTCTTCCTTCTCTCTCTCTCTCTCTTTCTCTCCTCTCTTTCTTTCTTTCTTTCCTCTCTTCCTCTCCTTCAGCCGAAGGGTGTGGGTATGAGGGGGGGAGGGAAGAGCCTCCTTATATAGGCAATTTGAATACAAAAATTAAAACAAAAAGAAAAGAAATTCCTTAGTTGCATGTAACCTCATTGGGTGGCATTGCCACCCTTCTAGCACCTATGTAATTAGGGTGGTTGAGTGTTGGCATAGGTAAGCAATCCTTACACAAAGTCAAAATGGCATGGAAAAGAAGGGGTGGGAATTGGCTAGTGTTTATAACTATCTAGTTGACTTAAATTACTAACTTCAGGCCCCATTTGGGAACTGGCTATCTAGTGTTTTAACAGTTATCTAAAATTGCAAGTTCACACAACCTATCCCCTTAAAGAAATTTCATTGTCGAAATTGGATCTTATCTTTATCCTGGAACAACTAAGGGTAATTGGCACGAATTGCATCTTCCCTTTCCCAAATAAATTCTTCGACTCCCCGGTGTTGCCATAATATATGTACTAAGCAGAAAACTAGGCCTCGGAAGTTCTTTTATCCAAGATTCATGATTCTACGAGCCTTTATTCAAAAAATTGCATCTTCGTCGAGATTGATTCCTCTCCAATTGATTACGTGGGATGGATGAGGTTCATACATTTTTAATGTGAGACATTATGTATTGCCACTAGCTTATGTGGTAATGTCATTAATATACTACTTCTCCAACCTAGCTTAAAACCTCAAAAGGTCCAACATAATATGGTGCTAGGTTCCCTTTCTTTCCATAGGACACGGTACGTCGACGAGGACTTCTAGGAAAACATGATTTCCCACCTCGAAAGTCAATGGTCACCTTCATTGATCTGCGTAGCTCTTTTGCCTGCTTTGGGTTGTGATCAAACTTTGTATAATTACCTTAACCTTTTATGTGGTCCCATGGACCTAGTCTGGCCCTAGAAAGGATGTTTCCCCTACTTCTGTCCAGCAACTCGGTGCTTGACAAGGTCATCCATAAAGAGCTTCATATGATGTCGTTTCGATGCTGTCCTGAAAACTATTGTTGAATGCAAAATTCGATCAATGGCAAGTGCTTATCCAACTTCCTTTATGACACAAGTTCGGAGTATGCCCTCCAAATTGTGTATTGTTCTTTCAAACTGTCCATCTATCTATGGATAAAACGTTGTGCCAAAGCTAGAGCTGCAAACGAACGAAGCCGTTCATGAACAAACTTGAACTCGGCTTGTTAAAGCTCATTCGTACTTGGTTCATTAACTAAATAAAAGAGTTCGAGCTTAAGATTCGAGTTTGAATAATAAACGAGCCGAGCCCGAACTTAATATTACTTGGCTCGAATAAGCTCGCAAGCTCAAGTATATATATTATATATTTACATTTATATATACGTATATTATTATATATTATATATTATATAATATTTGTATTTGCTAAAACATTTTAAATTGATCATGATAAATAATCTTGATTAGTTTAATAGAAAATAATCATTGAAAGTTTTTTTCAATGCTTTGCTTTTACTTTCCTTTCCTTGACTAGTGTGATAGTTTCCACCAACTCACCCTTATAAACCTTTTGTAACGGTTGGGACTTTGTGCATAGCTTCTCTTCAACAATGTGGGGCTGAAATAATGCAATAAGATGTGTGCCAAACTACGTCATTTGGTGAGTTGGTTGAAAAATCCCACATAGGTTGCACAATACCTTTCAAGGTGGAAAATTTTCTATGTAAGTGCAGAGGGTTCATGTTTTCTATAGATTTCTCTTGGCTAACGAGCCGCCACGAGCCGAGTTCAAGTTACATAAATTTTACATGAGCCGAGCTCGAGCTCAAATATTTTGGCTTGTTTCAAGCTCGAGCCAAGCTAGAACACCTTGTAAATAAATTGAGTCAAGTTCAAACATAGTAAAACTTAACTCGGCTCGACTTAGCTCGTTTGCAACCCTAGCCAAAGCACGAGTTTGTCCCTATGGCTTTTTGCATACTTTGCCAGAATTGAGAAATGAATTTGGGGTCGCGCGTGGATACGATGCTAGTTGGCCCTCAAGGAATGGAACATGATTGGTACACAATGAATTTAGGGTACGTAAGTTACTGAATGAGGTGAGAGAGTAACAAAAGTTTGATTAGGTAGTTGCTTTCATTAAAAGCTCGACTGGAATCAAAAGAACCAATGCTAGATTAGAAAATACACACGGATGGGAGCTTGAGGTATCAAGGAAGATTGTTTGTGCCAAGTGATTAATCCTAGAAAGAAAAACTTCTTAAGGAATTTCACCATTCCACGTCACAGTACACCCGAGAGGAACCAAGGTGTATCAAAATCTGAAAAGACGATATTGGTGGAGTGAAATGAAGAAAGATGTAGCAACATTCGTATCGCAATGCTTGACATGTCAACAAGTAAAAGCTACACACCAGAAACCGATAAGGACACTCCAGCCCTTACCCATACTGGAATAGAAATGCAAATACATAACCACGGACTTTGCTACCGGTTTGCCTCGACCGCCTCAAGGGCATAAGTGCATACATGTTATACTAGATCGACTGACTAAGACAACACACTGTTTGCCTATCGAACAGTCGGATACTTTGAAGTCACTTAGTCAATATTTTATCAAGGATGTGATAAGACTACAAGCCTTTTCTCAAGTTTAGTATGAACAAGTGTCGTACTAGTATATGTAGCTTCTTTTTTTCTTTTTTATGTAACAGAATGATCTTGAAGTTTAACTAATTTTTTGTTAATCAATGGTGAATTATTTAATGCTGAAGGATTAAGGTCTATTTATGTTCGGAGACTTTCTTTTTATATCAAGGTTGATTTTGAGAAAATATTACTTTGTGGTTTATCATTGATCTTACATTAATGGTGGGTTAAAACTTAATGATGTCCAAAAATTTAGAGCGACTCTAAAGTATTTGACAAGCCTTGGCTGACATGACATCTTGTGCCAAGTCTCATTCCTTTTGTTCATTGCAGCTTATTAGTTCTTGGGCATTTACCATGCAGCCATGCTTATCATCATCGTCTATGTTACACGGACTCAGGCACGGGCAAGGTTTTGAAAGTGGTTGCGGTTGCCGTAACGGTGGCGGTGGTGCGGTTGTGTTTGTGGGGCGTAAAGGCCGTAGCGTAACGGTTGCGGTAACTGAAACCGTGAATTTTTTTATTTTTCAAACAATTTGAAAAAAACTTACCGATACGCATATTTTTTTTCCATGATCATATTTATTGGGTTTAAAATAAATATTGATCAATTTTTATAAATTTTTAAGTATGATCCAATATATTTCATATTTTTAAATCACTATAAACGAGTTTTTTACATTTTATTTTAATAATTAATGACTTTATATTATACAAAAAATCAATCACTAACTATTACATATAAGATAAACAATAACAAAAGTAAAAGAATAAATAAGAGTCTAAATATATATATATATATATATATATTAACCAAGCCAAATAAATAATGACCACGCTTATCATTATTATTATTATTTTTAAACAATATATAGATAGACACACACAAATAAAATGATTGAATGATAGCAGCTGAATAGAATAGCATAGCATAGGTCTTACAGCTTTAATAAATCAATAACATATTTTTCATCTTCCCTCTTCTCTCTCTCTATTTTTCTCTCTCTCTATCTCTTGTTCCTCCTTCTCTCTTTATCTTCCCTATTCTCTCTATCCCTCTTCTCCCATTTTTAGCTTTTTTTTGTGTGTTTTTTTCGAAAGAAGCAGTTCGAAACCGTTACGTAACGGTGTGTAACAAGCCGTTATGGCACCGTTACGACCGCTACGGCAGCCGCTACGGCCGACACACCTGTGAATCTCAATCACACTGCAAAAGCGGCCGTAACGGGTGGTGGTAACCACCAAAACCGTTACGTAACGGTGTTATGTAACGGTTGCGACCGCTTTTTAAAACCTTGGGTACAGGTATTGGGTGCGGGTGCGGGTGCCTATCTAGGGGTCAGACACTTCAAAATTAAAAATTAAGGATACGTGGATATGTATCTAAATTTAGATACGGGTACGGGGATACGTTAAATAGTTTTTTATTTTATTTTAAATATAGTTATTAAGATGAGTTATATCATATAAATAACAAATAAAAATCTATGAAGCGCGGATACGCATACGAACACGAACACGGACACAGACACGGGATACGACAATTTCTAAAAAATGGAGACATGGATACGGCAGGGGACACGGCAAATTTTTTAATTTTTTTAGAAATATTTTTATTTTAATATACATTAATTATTTTATTTATTTATTAGATTTTTTAAATAATATGTTCTAATTAAATTTTTTATTTTATTTTACATATATATGTTTATTTATTTTTATTAATATATATAAGTATATATTATCTTATAAATATCTTACATGTTATACAATAATTATTATATAATATATAATAATAATAGTTATTATTATAGTTATTATAATAATAATTATTAACTATTATTATTTTATATAGATATATACGAATAGATATAGATATGAATCAAGAAAGGGATATCAATAGTCAAGAATAAAACGACACAGAGAGAGAGAGAGAGGGAGAGAAGTGAAGCGAAGCGATCGATCTCGATCGCAAGGGAGAGGGAGAAGGAGAGAGAGAGAGAGAGTCGTCTGGGGTGTTCGACTGTTCAATCGACTGATGGAGCTTTGATCTTCAACTGGATCGACCGGATGGAGCTTCGACTGGAGGTAGTCGATCTTCGACTTCGACTGGATCGAGCTTTGACCAGGTTCTCTCTTGCTCTCTCCTCTTTCATTTTTGCTGTCTGTAAAGAGCTGTGTCCGAGAGACAACAACCAAATCCGACACAGATCCCACACCCGCACCCGCACCCGCGTCGTGTCATGTTGACACGGGTACTTCGCCCCAAAGTGCCGAGTCCATGTAACACAGATCATCATCAGTCGGTACCAAATGGGGGAATGTTATAGTTTCCTCCAAAAGATCATCTGACAGTGCATGTTAGTGACGAGACTGACGGCAGCGAACCATGACAACCTTAGTAGATCAAGTTTTGCTACAGATCAGTGATGATCGAACTCTAAAATGGTTGGTCAAGTTGAGAATTTGAACAAAGAAAATGTTAAAGGAAGCGTACTGGAAATTCCATAAAAACTTCTTGCACAACATAGATGAATGTTTTGATTTAAAAAGAGAGAATTGAGAGTCTCATCTCGTCTATCAGGGCTAGAGATGGAAATTTGAACCCAACCTGACCTAACGGTGTGGTTTCCCAACATAAAGCAAGAATTCATAGCAAGAATTAAGGGATCACATTCATTGACTAAATGCCTAAACTTCAGACCAAGATTCTCTACAATAATCTTACAAGTTTAACTAAGTAGTTCAAGCCCAAAATACAATCAATAATGATTAAATAAATGGTTTAAACCCAATCATCTATGCAATAATCTTGATTATTGCACGGAATTCTATTCCCTAAACTTCACCATATGAGAAGCACAAATTCCAATCTTAAAGTATGCCATTACAAGACACTTTTATCGTACGCATACAGAGAATTGATTGAGTGAGACCTCTTAGTTAGACATTCTGGAAAAATACTTGAGACACCTAATTTATCTCCCTAAACACCATCCCTAATGATGCGTGAAAATGTCAAATTTTGATTTGTCAAACATTTGATCATGTAAGGTCTAACCTCATTGTCACATCATTAAAGATGTGTTAGGAATGGTAAATTACGGAGATGTAACATTATTGGACATCTCATATTTATTATAGTATTACCAAACATCATCATTCACATTTAAGGATAAATATGTCATTTTAATCTGACAGAGTATAATTTTTTTAATATGAAAGGATCTGTATTAAACAGAAACGTGTCAGTGTAATTTACCCATGTTTGAACTATCTACACCTTCAGGCATATAAAGGGTGTCGTGTGAAATTTATGCATGGGACCAAACAAATTTTTGTACATTTCTATGAAAACAAACCAAAAAAATACTTCATCACCATATTGCCTATTTTCAAACCAAACAATCAACGGGAAATTGCAAATACAGAGTCTACAAATAGATTTTTTTTTTGACAACTCTGACAAATCAGAAGAATTGCTCCACGAACATAAATAGATTTACCCCATGCCCACACAGAAAAATTATATCATCATTAAAATGTAATTTTTTTATTTTTATTTTTATCACTACTCCACTAAATGTAATTTTCCCAACAATCAATTTCTCACTTTATAAAAAGCATGTCATATGTAAATACAACAATGGAAAATTTTAATATACACCCCCCCTTACAATATGCACTTTTATTTATACTATTTTCTTTTTTAATTATAATTAATTTTTTAATTTAATTACGACATTATTTTACTTATAACTCATAAACTTTTTAATTACATATCATGTTTTTATTTATATATTATTTTTTATTTTAATTATAAGGTGCATATCGCAAAGTCCCTATAATAATGTATACAATGTACAAATAATTATTTACTTATTATTTGTTAGGCAACAGGCATACCTGAAGAATATCTCCAACGTTAACAATGAGACCACCAGGCACAGGTTCAATATTAACCCAATCTCCGCCGTGCTTCACCTGCAAACCACCAACCTGGTTTTGCAACACCACCGTCACCACCCCCGGATCCGTATGTGACGTCAGCCCATACGTCATATCCGGCTCCGGACAGTACGGATAGTAGTGAGCCGCCATTGTCCTCGACTCCGAGCACGACAATTCCTTCAATCTCTCCCTCTCAATTCCCAAACCCTCCGATAGCAATCCCAACAGATCGTCTCCGAGCCGTCCGATCTCCCGGTCCCACTCGTACACCTCCGATCGGACGGCCTCGGGGACGTCTTCGGGGTTCGGAGGGGTCGGCGCGAGCCGCATCTGGATGGTGTCGCGCCAGCTGGCGGCTTTGGAGCGGAAGAGATCGACGTTGGTGGAGAAGTTGACTCCGCGGCCCGTCTCGCGGTGGTAGTGAGCCATCTTTGACTCCGTCGGCTGCTCGTTGAAGGATTTCACGGCGGCGACGGTGCGGCGGAGGACGGCGGAGGGGATGCCGTGGTTGGTGATTTGGAAGAAGCCGAAGGTGGAGGCGGCGCTGCGGACTTCGTCGACGACGGCGGAGCGGGGGCCGGAGAGGTCGATGATAGGGACGAGGACGGCGGCGGAGGCGGCGGTGGTGGTGGGGCGAGATTCCGGTGGGTGGTGGAAGAAGCGGGGGATGGAGGAGATGAGGCCGGAGTCGAGGAGGCCTTTGACGCCGATTTTGGAGTCGTCGAAATTTTTAACTTCCTTGAGACGATCGTATTCTTCTTGGTCGCTGTTCATTGTCGCCATTGACATGGTTCTCTCTCCTTCTCTCTCTCTACTGGTTGAGTTTCTTAGTCCAATTTCGAGTCTATAGTCGGAAATTTGAAAGGAATAGATTAGATAGATATTGAGGATAGTGTATTTTTTTTGTTTTTATAAAAAGATATATAAAACAATAAAAAGATGATGAGATGTAAATAGAATAAAAGGATAGATTATTTGAGATACGTGAAACTCGACCTTATTGAGATAAATTACACGACACGCATGAGTTTGATCTAATTATAATGTGGTGTCTGGGGTAGTTGGTTTTTTAGTTATTTTTTTGATTTTTTTAATTTATTTTGTTTTTTTATGAGTAAAAATTATGAAAAATAATGTGATTTAAAATAAATAAAAAATTAAGAATTAATTTTTTTTCTTTTCAAAAGACCCTCTACCTTAATTTTTGATATTTTTAAAATTATATTTTCATTTTTATAGCTAATAGTCCCATTTTATAAATTTTTGTTTATATAAAAAGTAATTATTTTTAATAAAAAATTTTAAAAATTATATAAAAGAGTGGTTTGAAATAATTTAAGGTCTCGTTTGCCAAGTAATATTTTAGTCAAAAAGTTATTAAAAAAGTCAAAAAGTCTATAACTTATACAAAAAAGCTAAAGATTCCTTTTGCTATTTACTTTTTACACGTCTTTTCTTGAAAAGTTAAAAAATTACTCCAAACATACTAGTTTTTTTGCCTCATATTTTAGCTAAAAAGTCAAAAATTACTAAAATATCATGTTCCCAAACATGGCCTAAATAAGTGAATTTTTTAATTTTTTTAAAAAAATTGTACAGAAAATAAAGTAATGATATGACTTAAAAAAATAAAAAGTGTGCATTTATTAATTTATGCCAAGCTTGTCATAAAAAAAAAAAAAGTAAAACAAAGGAAATAAATAAAAAAAAAGAAGAAGAAATACAGTAAAGTAAAAAAAAATGTATCAGTTAAATATTTTTATTCTGAATAAATAATTATAATAATAATAAATTAGTGTAATTTTCGAAACATAAAAAATATATATTATATTTAAACTTTAAGGATATATGTGTAATTTATCATATTTATTATGGGGATAGAATAATTATTCGTTTGTTAGGAATGTGAAAGGTTTAGTTTAGCTTAGTTAGTGCATCATGTACGCAAAGCTTTAGTTGACTTGATTTGAAAATTGATATGATATGATTTGTTTTATTTGGAAGGTTGATAAAAACTAGTGAAGGGTGTGTTACGAAATTGAAGGCTTTCATGGAATATCTATCTATCTGGTCCCGTTTATTTGGCCGCTTTAGTGATCGGATTGGTTAGATTGATTGTAAAAGTATCATCTACGGCACGTTTAAGTGTTGAAGTTGATTCGAGAGGTCGACTTGTCAGCGTGAGTAGTTTAGTAATCCAACCATAATTCATACCATTTAAAAAAAAAAAAAAAAAATTATTAAGAACATTAAGGCCTAATTTGGCATAATATAAAAAAGTTAAAGAGTCACTATCTTATTTAAGTCACATCATCTCATTTAAATCACATCATCTCTCTATCACATCACTTCAAACACAACCCATATTTCACGTTTTTTCGTAAAAAATCAAAAAATACACTTATTTAAATCATCTCAAACAACCCCTAAAATATTGAGAATGTTAAATAAAATAAATAAATAAGGCAAAGACAGTGGGTTCTGTTCACGGCCACATCATTAGTGATGCTATTAGAGCATCACTTTTAGTGGCCTCAATCATTTTTCTTAGTAATCTCTTTCAGTAAGTAAATTAGTTTGGTTGAGAAAAGTGCGGGATTAGGAAAATAATAAACTGATTGGCTCTATTTGGGAGTTTGTTGGGTGTTCTAAATAAGTATATTTTTTGACTTTTTGAACTAAAAAGTAGAGGAAAAAAATATGGTTATTAGGGATAACTTTTTAACTTTTTTACGAAAAAAATATGTATTAAAATATTATATAAAATAACAAAATTAGTATATTACCCCTACATATATAAATGCCTATTGACAATGATGGTACCGTCATGCTGTCATGCCTACGGTGGGCAGCTAAGACCAGATTGCCTACAGTGCTGTTCAGACTGGACGGTACAGTTCGGTCCGTGGGGGCCCACCATGGGTCCCGTTTTGATAATCGAAACCGTTCAATGTGTAAAACTTGTCAAGTACTACATGATCGTAAAAAATCAAGTTGATCGGATGTCGATAGCTATCTGATCGGATTAGTTTTTTGTCGACCGTTACTTTGTGCACCGTCCATTTTTTTATACAAAACTGATTTGATCATATAGTTATCGATATCTGATTAGCATGATTTTTTACAGGCATATAGTATTCGACGAGTTCTATATATTGACGGTTCCGATTATCAAAACAGGACCCTTGGCAGCCTCCCACTGGCCCAACAATACCCATGACACCTCAGCCTATATACATATATGTTCTGTGACAGCGCATCATTCCAATAATATTTATTCACATATATATACATAAATGTTCTGACAACACTAGACATCACCATTATTGCCATGCCAAAACTTGACTTGTACTTTTTTTTTATATATTTTTTGTGTAAATAGTAATAATTTTTTGATCTTTTTAGTAACTTTTTAGCTTTTTGTCTTTTTTCATGGATGCCAAATAGGAATGGCAACGGGGCGGGGCGGGATTGGGGATCACACTCCCCGTCCCCGATCCCCGAGGTTGAAATTTTTCCCGTCCCCGACCCCGATCCCCGACGGTAAACTTGTCACCGTCATTATTCCTGTCTCCTAATAGGGATCGGGTTTCCCCGACCCCGAAAACTCCTGGGCCAAAAAGAAAAAAAAAACAACAACAACACAAATCATCATCGACAACATCAACAGATCTGAAATTAACAAAATCATCAACAAAATATCAACATCAACAAATCTCAAATTCACGGTGATGGGCGGCGGAGGAGGTGGAGCGGCAACAATAGATCTTAGATTTGCGGCGATGGACGACGGAGGAGATGGAGTGGCAACAACAGATCGTAGATCGGCGACGATGGACGACGGAGGAGGTAGAGCGGTGGTGCGAGGTAGACAGAGGTGGAGGGGAGGTGTGAGAGTGACGAGGTGGACTAAGGTGCAGAGTCGACGGAAGTGCGAGTTGGACGCGACTCCGACATTGCGGACAGCGGCGGTGGCACTAAGGAGAAGACGTTGCGGACAACGGTGGTAAGGAGAAGAGATGCGAGAATGAGTTAGTGAGAGTGAGAGAGAGTAGAGGGGAGAGAGAGAGAGAGAGAGAAAAAGACAAGAGGGGTTCAGTTAAGTGTAATACAGCCTTGAGGCTATATATATATGAATAGAGGATTGAGGGGTATGATAGTAATTTTACTTCGGGGGGAAACGGGGACGGGGTCGGGGACGGGCCAGGGCTGAAAAACATATCACCGTCCCTGGCCCGAAAATCATTAGGGATTTAATTTCGAATACCATCCCCGGCTCGTCGGGAGTATTTTTCGTGGAAAAATCGCTCTAATCAAGATTGGGGGAGCGGGTCCCCATTGGGCCGGTTTTAAATTGTCATCCCTAATGCCAAACCAGCCCTTTAGCCATCCATTTGGACTCTTTCCGAACGTTCGACCAGTCATCCAGATGGTTGACCGAAACAATACTTATTTTTTTGTTTTTTTTACAATTGCAACCTGTTATTTAAAATATATATGCATATATATATATATATATATGTATAATCACACTTATTAAGTGTGATTAAAAATAAAGGGAGCTTTTTTGATAAATTCACTTTCTAATAGCTTTATTCCATCTAACCCATATTCTTTTCGACCACTCCATTAGGTCCTATTTGAGATAAGAAGACCAAAATACCCTTTTCATCTACTTATGTTCCATTTAGTTCACATTATTTTCTTATGTTTCAATAAGTCCTATGGGTGACATAATTACCAAAATACCCCTAATGTGAATGTTCACATCGTCAATGTGAATGTTCACACCGTCAATGTGAATGTTCACACCGTCAATGTAAATGTTCCTATTTGAGGTAAGAAGACCAAAATACCCTTTTCATCTACTTATATTCCATTTAGTTCACATTATTTTCTTATGTTTCAATAAGTCCTATGGGTGACATAATTACCAAAATACCCCTAATGTGAATGTTCACACCGTCAATGTGAATATTCACACTGTCAATGTAAATGTTCGCACCGTCAATGTGAATGTTCCTATTTGAGGTAAGAAGACCAAAATACCCTTTTCATCTACTTATATTCCATTTAGTTCACATTATTTTCTTATGTTTCAATAAGTCCTATGGGTGACATAATTACCAAAATACCCCTAATGTGAATGTTCACACCGTCAATGTGAATATTCACACTGTCAATGTAAATGTTCGCACCGTCAATGTGAATGTTCCTATTTGAGGTAAGAAGACCAAAATACCCTTTTCATCTACTTATATTCCATTTAGTTCACATTATTTTCTTATGTTTCAATAAGTCCTATGGGTGACATAATTACCAAAATACCCCTAATGTGAATGTTCACACCGTCAATGTGAATATTCACACTGTCAATGTAAATGTTCGCACCGTCAATGTGAATGTTCCTATTTGAGGTAAGAAGACCAAAATACCCTTTTCATCTACTTATATTCCATTTAGTTCACATTATTTTCTTATGTTTCAATAAGTCCTATGGGTGACATAATTACCAAAATACCCCTAATGTGAATGTTCACACCGTCAATGTGAATATTCACACTGTCAATGTAAATGTTCGCACCGTCAATGTGAATGTTCCTATTTGAGGTAAGAAGACCAAAATACCCTTTTCATCTACTTATATTCCATTTAGTTCACATTATTTTCTTATGTTTCAATAAGTCCTATGGGTGACATAATTACCAAAATACCCCTAATGTGAATGTTCACACCGTCAATGTGAATATTCACACTGTCAATGTAAATGTTCGCACCGTCAATGTGAATGTTCCTATGACGTCGTTTTGGTGAGGCTTAATATCAGCCCTTGGATGAACCACTTTAGGAGATCACTATAGAATTCATACTCCAGAGGATCCGGACGCGTCAT